CCTACTTTCTTTGAGGTTAAACGATGGGCCCGGCTGTGGCAGAGCCAAAACATATAGTTTTGAAACATCAATAGTGAGATGAAATGGAAGATTATTTCTCAGTTATTCTTCAGCAGGTTGACAATTTGGGATGGGAGCCAATAGCTCAGTGCAAATCTTGGATCAAAAGAGATTGTGATTGTCATCAGATCTTTCCTTAAAAAAACGTTTGTGAGGTTCCAGTTGAGTTTACTCACTGAGACTGGATTCTCACTTCTGTCACTTTTTTTTTAAAAAAAAATCACCTAATATCCCTTTTAACTCATCCCTGCGGTCTTTATCGGCCTACATTTGGACGGCTGTCAGGTTATTCGTTCAATTAAAAAAATAAATCCGGAACCCCTTAACATTTATGGGCAGCTTACACTGAGGTCCCGTCCCCCGCCAGAACTGAACTGTCCAATTACATCTCGGACCCCTGAAGTTGATGCAAGATATAATTTTGATACGCCTTTTTTTAAACCCATCTGGAATTCGTTGGAGGTTTTAAAGAGGCATCCCAACGTCCCCGGGGGAGAATTTGGATCTTTCCTAATGTGCAATAATTGAGATAATTGGCTGAATGGGGTTTCTCATTAGGACAGGAAGATGGGCTAACCTTTCACGGACAAATCTCATTTAAGGAGATGAGACAAAGACGCTCCCGTTGGCATATGGAGCTGAGGTTTTATGGGAGGTGAGGATAATGTGGCTTTTTTTAAAAAAAATCTGTTGGAGGATGCGGAACAAAGGTTTCCTTGCAAGCAGTTCTGTTCGGCTTTTCTTGTTCCAAAGGTGCTTTTTCCAAAACTTTCTTGGTTTTTTTTTTCCCTTGAAAACGTATCTCTTCTCCTCCAAGAAGCTGTTTCTGATCCAAACCTGGTTCCAAGGAAACAAACACGAAACAGAGGTAACAGCAAAACCTTTTAATGATTCTTTACAAACTCCGTTCCTTCACGGTTAAAAGGCTGTTTTTCAAACTAATTGTCTCTGATAAGAACGAGCCTTGCCGAGGTGGTGCAAGGCTGCCAAGAACACCTAGGTAAAGTCACTAAAAACTATTTCAAACACAAAGACCAAACACCAACCAAGATACTCCAAACGTCCGCAAGGCTTGAGGGCAAGAACTTCTTTGCTTCCTGCAAAGAACTCCGGTCTCTCAGGCTGGCTTTTATCCCTTAAGGGAGGAGCCATCACCTTGCAGCCTTACTCCTGAGTCGCCCGTGCTGCTGCAGCTGCTCTTTCCTTCGAGCAGCCTTGTGCGCACGTGCAGTTGGCACAGGCTCCTCGGAGGCATCTTCATCACTGCTGCCAGCCTCCACCATCTCCGGAGGCAGCATTCGACTCCCTGATGGTCCTGGCCTCATCCCTCCATCACATGCAGGCCCCTCATCTGAGTCCTCGCTCTCCGAAACCTCAGCCTGCTGCCGGTGAACCACCTCTTCATCCTAGGGCACGCAAGGAGGAACAGAGAAGGGAGCAACATGGCTTACAGGGGAGAAAAGGGCCCTGATCCCTTTCATTAGTTGCAGCTGGGGGAACGGAATATAAGAAGAGCGTTTGCACACAGCTCTTTGCTGGAAGCAAAGCGTGCCTTATTTTTCTCGAGGCTTATCTGGATTTTGGCATCCTCCCAACTGTGGGTGCTGTGTTATTCTTTGAAAGTCTGCCATTTATCATCCTGGCCTGCCGTGTTCATTACTTCAGTGTGGTTTGTGTTGGATTTTTATTTCTAATTATCTTTACTTTGGCTTCGGACTGCATTTCTGCCCTTTGTAGACTGTTTTCGGAAGAGTTTGATCTCCAGCCGGGGATAACTGGACATTGCGGGGGGGGCCAAGTTGGAGGCATTCAAGGGAATGTATTCTACTTTGGTGATTTTGTTATTTTTGTGCCACGCCTCGGTCATCACACGGGGCCTTCCACTGTGCAGTTTGCGTGTGTGTGTGTGTGTTTGTGTGTTTGTGTGTCCTCTTGAATGTTTTGACCATAATCGGCGAACAGTTCACCGTCTTACCACGGAGAACATGCATGGATATGCCAAGATATTGAAAAGAATTCCCTCCCCCCACATACAAAGAAGTGGCTTTTTGGAGGGGGGGCGTATTTTTTTTACAGGCCCCATTTCTGATTTGTCGCTGCTGCAGCTCCGGGTACAAAAAAAACCCGCAGTGACAATGGTGTCATTTTAATGAGAGCCTCGTGCACAATGGCCGGCAGGGCAGAAGTGCCCAAACGCATCTTCGGTTGCATCCGTCCGATTACATCTCCCCCCCCCCGCCTCACAACTGTCACGGTCTCGCGGGGAGCCCCCTCCATCAATTGAATGTGTCAGCGAGATGTACGACCACCTTCCTGCCTTCCAGATGGATCATTTATCTGTGTCACAGGCCATTTATCACCTTTCTCCTCCTGTTCCAATTTTGGATTTATTCCTGCCATCTCTTGCTCGGCTGGCACATTCCTAATTCACGCTCCTCCCGGTGCGGTCAATAAACACTAGGGGGGGGGGCGCTATTTGGAGAGCCATTAGGGAGGGATGATTGAGTGACCCCTGGCTCCAGCTGTAGCGCTACACAGGGTCCTTTTGTCTGGCCAGGCCTTGCCCCAAAAAGAGACGGATGAGACCCATCTGTAGGGGAGAAAGGAGGGCCAGCGGGAGGGGACGGGACGGGGCGGGGCGGGTGAAGCCAACGGTCCAGGTGAAATAAGAGAACCGACGAAGACACACAAACGCGTTTCTGGATCTTGTTGTAAGCCGCCTGGGGTCATCCCCCAGCACGTGTGTGAGTTGGGCGGCGATTTGTTTGATCAATGAAATAAATAAATTCGGTTGATCAATGAAATAAATTAAAAAGCAGAGCCTGATTTGGGAGGCCAGGGGGATGAATTTTATTTTCTTGAAAACGGCCCCTGTGGGAAATAGGTGGTTGGAGGGTGAGGGCTCCTGGATGGCATGGTTTTCCTTTCCTTTCCTTTCCTTTCCTTTCCTTTCCTTTCCTTTCCTTTCCTTTCCTTTCCTTTCCTTTCCTTTCCTTTCCCTTCCTTTCCTTTCCCTTCCTTTCCCTCCCTTTCCTTTCCTTTCCTTTCCCTTCCCTTCCCTTCCCTTCCTTTCCTTTCCCTTCCTTTCCTTTCCTTTCCTTTCCTTTCCCTTCCC